ATGGTATCTATCCTTTAGCCAACTGCTCATCCATTGAAGCATTCAAGAGTTAATATCTAGCGTGTACAACTTTTGTATTAGATCATTATGTGAAACTGTAGCAAATGCATTGCTGAAATCAAGATATTCTATGTCCACAGCACCACCCTGGTCCACAACATTAGCGATATGGTAAAAAAAATTAAATCAGATTAGTCTGACATGATCTGCCCTCATTAAAGCCTTGCTGTTTTGGGTCCAGCAAGTTGTGTGTTTTTTAATTGCAATATATCTTAATTAGATTTTAAAGAAATGCAGATATTAATTGGTATTGATGTCCTACTATCAAAGAGAACCAAATTCATTAATTGTGTACAGAAAGAAAGTTCAACATTTTAGAGATTAGTCCTTACAACTACTAATCTTTAGAAAATAAGTTAGAACAGTCAAGCAATTTTTGTTCAGAGTATTACATAGTTCGAACCCATACACATAGTGATCTCAAGAATTACTGTATGTTGTAATAAGGATACTACAGACAACTCTTTACAATTAACAAATTAGTGGTGTTTACTAGTTTGAGAATTTCTTATACCACTCTAATCAAGTCTTCCATAGCTCAAGCGTTTGATTGTATTTCTCAGTACTAGATGCAAATAGGATTTCATATGTGCAATGTGTTTGTATGGTGTTAAGCACCTGTTTTAGATCATGGGTTTTTGACTTCTTCCAAATACTAACTAATGATAGTCATGCTGCTAATCGGATATGAATCGCCACAGTTCTCAGTGGCGGGGAAATAAGCTCTAGCTCTAGGGACAGTACGGCAACGTCAAGTGATGGTGCAACAGCGAATCCCAAAATCTGTGTTAGTAAATTAAAGTTGGAAATCCAAATGGAGATACACAGGGACATGACCAGAGGGTATACAGAAGCATGCCTGAATGTCCACAATTCCTCCAGCAATTAGGGGAACTATGTGGTGAAAATTTAGAAAGCCAGTACGGTGTCAGGTACTATCGTAACAGAATTTTCTGGGTCAATTCAAATAAATTTGCACTGTGTGTCACTGATTAAAGTTGTGTGGTTTTAAGTGATCAACGATACTTCTTTTCAGGAGTCATTCCATTAACTTGACTTCATTTGATTTTAAACTCATGGCCCTGTAATTGTCAGCTTCTTCCATGTTGCCCTTTTTATGGATAGGTACAATATTAGCTGTCATGGGAAACTTCTCCTGTTAGAAGAGATTGATTAAAAAGATGCATTAATGGTCTAACAACTGTAAGTTCTCTTCTCAGAACTCTGGGATGAAAACTATTGGGGCCTACTGCTTTATTGATCTTTAACTGAGCCAGTTCCTCTGTTACCTCTGTCTCCCAAAATCCTAAAAATGAATCGCCATTGCTTGAACCAATATGATTTCCCAACTTCTTATTTCTAGTATAATTTATTTCAGAGAAGAATGAAAATAATTAATTGTTTAAATGGTTTGCTACATCCAGGTCTCCCTCAACATATGCTGTGCCCAGTTTTCATTTTGGTGGTCCCATTGTATTTTTCCTCCTTTTTCTGTGCTTTAGCAGAATTGATAATGTGTTTGTCTTCCTGTTTCCTTCAATCTGATCCTCCTGTTTCCTTCGAACTCCTATATGCTGAATTTATTTCCTTTACTATCCTACTTACTTCTTTAGTAAACCATATTGGTTCTTCAGTCTACTGTTACTAATTTACCTGACATATAGGGACTATTTACTAAAACTGGATAGTGCAAAAGCTGGTGCAATTCTGCATAGAAACCAATCAGCTTCCAGTTATTATTGCCAAAACTGAATTGAACAATCTGAAATTAGAAGGTTATTGGCTGCCATGAACAGATGCACAAGATTCTGAGTGCTCCAGTTTTAGTAAATCTACCCTGTAGTCTAATTGCCTCCAGGATGTCTTTTTATTCTAACCTTTCAATTAATTTTTAGAAATTACCCATTTCCACAAAATGTGTTTTTTTGAAAAATAAAACTTTTGTTTTTGTATATGATTTTTCAGTTCTTGCTTTAATATCAAACCAAAGACATTGGTGATCACTAGAACCCGAATTTCTCCCACCTCAACATCAGACAATCTATCCCTCTTTGTCAGTATTAGGTCTAGAATATGACCACCTCAGCTTGGGCTTTTTTATTAATTGTTTCACAGAAACCCCATTCATTGCTTCCAAACTGGTCCAAGTTGGATCAATGTAACTATGTAGAAATATCCACAGCTGGAACTCTACTTTAAAACATGGTGTTTTAATACACAGTGTTTTGGCAAATTAAATGTCATTCATTGAAAGTTTTCATGTAATATAAAGCACACAGCTAAATACACTATAAAACTCCATTGTTTGTCTGCTATAATAGCTACTAATATCACCACTGGTGAAATACACCTATATAAATGTATTCATCTCCCCCTCCTTCACACCAGATTAGAGCACACATTTCTACTCCAAGACCAATTTAGGCTTTTAGATTTAGCAATAAACTGTTGTAAAGTATAAACAAAGTTTTAAGGTAGTTAAAACTGTCGCTAAAAAGTGATTTCAACTGTAGAACCCTCCCAGTATAAGATGCTAGGTAAATTTAGTTTTTGGGTTGATAAGTAATCAGAGCAGCAGTGATCATTTGCCTTGGTCTGCTCAAGATTTCATAGGCTAGGAGTTTGCTTGTTTCCAGATAGAGAAGAGAGACAGCAGTGCCACTCTAAGTGTAGATGGTTAAAATCAGGCAGATTTAATGGTAAAATTGCACTCACATAGGTAGGTAACTGGTAGGCATGTCAAGTAATGGAGGTCCAGTGAGAGCATTAGGCCCTTTGACCACGCTCTGGGTGTTTTCCTGCCACTCCAGTAGTGTCCACGGCTTGGGGAGTAGCAGAGGGGTGCAGGAAGGCTCACAAGGATGATGTCACCACATGGACTGGGTTTCCAAGATGGCGCACGTTCGGAGTATTCTCACTTCTTTGTCAGACCGATGCGGCAGTCTAGACTGTTTTATGGAGCTGGAGTGAATGGACTGTTGCTTGTGTGACTGGTAGTCTCAACACTATTTGGGAAGGAATTAATTAAATACATTGATTCCTTCAAGGGTCTACACAACATTGTTTAATGTGACACTAAACAATGTTTTTAAAAAACTATTCAAGTATGTATTCATAATTCCAAAAAGTATCTTCTATCACTCTCAGCCTCCTTCAAATATTCAAATTAAATTTTTTGCTGCTGTGATCTGACTTCCTATTAGGGGTGGCTGCATTTATTCACCATCATTCCACTGTATGTAGGAACATAGTAAGGCTACGTTCACACTAGCTTTGTCATCAAGTGTCAGACAGGTGTTTGGGAATCATTTTTAACGCTTCTCAAACACCTATGAAAAATCTGCACATGGCAGCACAAAGTGCTGTTCACAGGGAAGCGTTAGCGTCATGTCCCGGCAAAACTGATGCCTCGGGTCAAATCAGGAGGAGTTGAAGCCTCCCATTCAAGTCTATGGTGCCGCTCCGTAAATGCCTGGCAGGTGCGGTTGCGACGTGGTTTCGAGGCGTTTGCAGAGCGTTAATACGATTTAACTTCATTATAGGAGTTTGTGGTGCGGTTTAATTTAATCAACCGCCTCAAAACTGCGCATAGGGCATTTTGGGAGCATTTGAGGAGCATTAAAAACGCTTTGCAAACGCCTGTCAAACGCTATAGGGGTGTTTGGCAAGAGTTAGAAATAAAGTCAAGTGTGAACAAGCCCTAACTCTCTCTTTTTCACTTCTAAGGTGTACTATGGACTATGGGATTTGTAGTATACATAGGGCAGTGCACATAACTGTAATAAACATGCAAATAAACTAAGCTAAAGCCAGAAAACATAATTTTTTTCCTGTAGTTAGGCTCCAAGCTTGAGAAACTTTGGTTCACACTATACTATGATATCTACTGAATTTTGTCAAATAAAAGCTACGTAGGACTGCTCTACAGAGTTTTCAACATATAGCCACACCAGGATTTATGCACAAAGAAAATCAACTTGAGTCTACACGGAGTTGGTTGTGACAGTTACAACTGCCCCCCCCCAAAAAAAAAAAAATACAGCACAGCTTGCCAGATATGAATGGGGTGTGAGCCAACTGTGGTTAAAGGCTTAAAGGATAACTCCACTTTCATGGGAAAAAAAACAATGTATACAATTGTAACACAAATCATATTGCAATTTGATGGTATTAGAAATGACCTTTCTTTTACAATCTGTAGTGTTGTAATTTTATGTAAAATGCAATGCAATATGGCTACCAGGAAGCTTTCTGTAGATGGTGTACAGAACGTTCCCCAGATATGTAATTTCCTGCTTGTGTGATTGGCTTACTAATTTTCTCAGACGTCTGTGCTAAGATTTGTATCCCTTGCAATGAAAAATATACTTTTTGGTAAGATACTCTCAAAGAGAAATCACGTCTAAGCCCCCAGTCACTTCAAAGCCAATTTGAAATCGTGCAACTTACAGTGAAGTTGCACGATTTCAAAATCGGATGACCTGCTGATTTCAGTTGCGATTTGCAAGACATCTGACACAGATGTCTATGCAAATTGCACCAAAAGTAGGGTATGTGCAAATTTAGAAATCAGTGCGGCTTCGACCAAGTCGGAACCGCACCGATATAACTGCTCTAATAGCGGACAATAGGGTGTGACTTGGCATATGATTTGCAAGTTGCATGGCATGCAAATTGCATGCCAAGTCACACCCGATGTAATCGGGGGGGGGGGGGGATGCAGACCCTGCAATTTTCCTCATTAGAGCTTTGCAGGTGCAGCAGCTGATTCATATTTATAAAACTCCCATACAGATTCACTTTGCACATGGAGAACAGTGGTGTTACTCTTTAACATGCCAATTTTTTTAATATGCTGAAAACCTATACACCACAATTAACCACACCACAAGTGCAACTACTTGACAGAGAGATAATACATAACTGCAGAGAAGGACAACTAACTTAACCTCCCTGGCGGTATTCCTGAGTGTAGCTCGGGTTAAAGTTTCAGTACCACAAGCGGTAACCCCGAGCTACACTCGGGTTTACCATGCTGCGCTGCTCCGGGATCTGTTCTTCACTTACCTCATCCTTGCGCTCCCGCGATGTCCCTCCTGCAGTGTCCCCGGCAATGTAATCCAGCAGATGCCGGCATCTGTCTTCCGGGTTCCATTCCCTGCGAGCGTCAGGACGTACAGGGACGGAACGGCAGAAAATTTGAAAATGACAAAAAGTGACGTTCACTAAATTCACTAAAATCACATAGTAAAACATTACTGTATCAAACCATTTCACATACATTTTGTCCCGAGTGCTTTGTCCTGTGCCCTGCCTGCATCTTTACTGTTCTTTCTGCCTGGAAACTGAGAAACGTCCATGGCGTCCAAAAAGCGTCCCTTTATGTCAAAATTGGTTTTAGATCAGCTAGAGAACAGCGATAGTAAATCAGAACCACTTGCAGAATTGAGTGATAATGATTCGTGGGGGAAATTCGTCATCAGACACTGAAAACGATTTTGCGACTTTGCTCAGTGATGTGCGAACTTGGCGCTCTATTTCAAATATCAGTGTTTTTGGTTTAATTAAATGAATTAAATGTATTAATATTGTATTATTATGATTATTTATTAAATTATAATTTATGATTTCGTGTTTCAAGTTTTATCCTATCCGGGATGTTTACTAGACTCTTGTTCGGACAGATTTCAGTGAGTTATTCCTAAAAATTACAGGCCTACAATAAAAAAAATACATATTTCCATGCAAAAAAAGTACCGCTTTAAGCACAGAAATATGGACATAATCAGACCGCTAGGGAGGTTAATAAGGTATGAAAAACTGTAGAAATGAAGAAAGACTAACTGAACTGAATTCATTATCACCTGGGAAGGTTTTCTTAAGGCACAACTTTACCCATAACAGTTTAATAACAATTAATGTTCTTTAGGCTAAGTTCACATTAGCTTTGTAAGCAGGCATTTTGCAGGTATTTGAGGGTTGTTTTTAATGCTCCTCAAAACGCCTATGAAAATTATACACATGGCAGCACACATTGCTGTTCACACTGAAGCGTTAGCGTTGCGGCAATATTGACGCCTCATGTCCAGTCAGGAGGAGTTGAAGCCTTTAAATGCCTTCCATTCAAGTCTATGGTGACGCTCCTCAAATGCCTGGCAGGCATTTGCGGGGCGTTTGCAGGGCGTTAATACCATTAACTTCCTTATAGGCATTTGTGGTGTGGTTTTAATGCTTGGAAAATGCCTATGAAACGCCTCAAAAACACGCATAGGGTGTTTGGGAAGCATTTGAAGAGCATTAAAAACGCTCCCCAAATGTTTGTCTAACACCTGTCAAGAAGCAGAAGGGAAGAAGTCAAGTGTGAACAAACCCTTAAAGCAGTATTACACCCAAAAGCAAACATTTATTGTATGGCTGTTTACAGATTCTTAGATGTGATGTCTGCATTAGTTTCCTTTTTCATCTGGTGATCAAGCCTGCAAGTCTGTTGCTTTTACAAAAGCACAAGTTCTCCAGTTGAATGTATCTGTTTACATAAATGAGACAATTCATTTAACACTGGGAGTGCTGTATACAATTATCAGCTTTTATTTATTCATGTAAAGACTTTATCCTGAAAAGTAAAAAAAAAGGTGTTTGCTGTAACTGATTATAAATGTGTTATTTTTTTTTTTAAATCTGCTAAGACATTTACCGCTACCCCCCCCCTCTCTCCTCTTCCCCAAGACTGACAATGATGCTGTCTACAGGGTGAAAACAAAGGGAAAAAAGCCAGAGAACTGAAACCTGATGTAGTCACTACATCCAATGATTGATAAGCTGCAATATATTACATTTTTAGTTTGGGTTAAATACTGTCCACAGGACACGGCGGATGACAGATAACTACACCAGCCCACTGCCAGTGTCACGTGATCGCTGTGACCTATCACAGCAAATCGCATGACAGTTGTAAACAATGAATGGCTTCCTTTTGTGCCATTCACTGCTTACAACTGTGCTGCAAGCTGTGATTGATCCCAGTGGTCACATGTACAGAATGGGCCAATCACATCCTCTCTAGCATGTGATCAGCTTTGGCCAATCACAGCTAATCACAACAAAAACTACTGAATGAATCAGTTTCATTCATTAAAAATGTTTCTTATACCAATGCAATTTATTGGTATAAGAAATCATAATGTGCAAAAAAAAATAAAAAATTCTGATCACTTGCTCAGAGTAGTACAATTTTACGGTGGTAACATTGTACTGCTCTGGTCACAGTAAAAAAAATAGTAAAACAAAAATGTAATAAAAATAAAATATATTATTAATATTTTTTTTTACATACTGTTGCTCATTTATATGATGACGCTGTACTGCATTGGTGACAGTATGTAAAAAAAAAAAAAAAAAATAGTGAATTTTTTTTTTCATTTCTTCATTTTCCACAAAATAATGACAAAAACCCAGACAACTTCAAAAAACTCACCATGCCTCTTACTAAATACCTCAGGCTGGCTACTTTCTGAAAAGCAGTAAATTTGAAGGTATTTGTTCTGTCCAGGGGCGGACTGACAAAAAGCCTATGAAAGGTTCCAGGGGCATCTCATGGGGCCCCCTTCTGACCCCGGGCCCTCTGGCAGTGCCCGAGTTCCCAAATGGTCAGTCCACCTCTGGTTCTGTCCTGGTGATTTTGGGCCTCAAGAGATCAGCCGCAAGTACATCAGGATTGATCAATTTTTAGATATATACCATAGTTTGTGAAGTCTATAACTTTCCTACCAACTAAATAATAAACACTGATTTGGGTTATTTTTGCCAAAAACATGTAGCAGAATACATTTTGGACTAAATTTGTGTAGAAAGATTATTTATTTGCAAAATGTTAAAACAGAAATGAAAAAAAGCGCATTTTTTTTTCAAAATGTTTAGTCTTTTTTCTTTTATAGTGCAAAAAATACCACCAAAAAAAATCTCTATTTGTGTGAAAAAAAGGATAAAAATTTCATATGGGTACAGTATTGCATGACCGTGCAATTGTCATTTAAAGTGCCACAGCGCTGAAAGATGAAAATTGGCCTGGGCAAGAAGGGGGTAAAAGTGCCTGGTAGGCAAGTGGTTATAAAAAATGTACGGTAATTGGCTCCTAATATGTATAAGAACTAACACTGCAAGTATTTGATCCAGGGCATATCCAATTACCTGTGAGGATCTGCAAGATTTTTTTCCTTTGTTATCAGTTCTATTTATATTTTGGTTAACCTCTTCACGCCGGCCGCACACAAATGTGCAGCCTCCCGGCGTCTGGGCCTAGACGCCGAGAGGCCGCACATTTGTGTGCAAATTAAAAAAAACATATGTGCTGAGTGCGTGTGCCCTGCACGCTCCCAGCACACATGTCCGGTACTCACGGAAAGGTCCTGATCTCCTCTTTCGATCGGGACCTTTCCCGATCATGTGACCGCGAATCATGGTGGTCACCTCCCAGCTTCTGAAACCCTTAAAGGGCCGGGAAACACCGGCGCCAAGGGGTTAAACTTGATGGGCATGTGCCATTTTCAATCTAGCTAAATAAACTATATAAGTTGATTTCTACTACAGACTACTGGTCAGATGGTTCAGTCCCCCACCAGTGATCACAAAGTCCTCATGCACACTGGACATTTTTACTGCTGCTGTTTTTGGCTTGTGACGTTTTTTTCTACAGCTAGTAAACCCCCAGTATGTTATCCTATGTGTCCATGCACACATAGACTAGTAATGACCACGATCAGTGACTTATACCAGGACTGCAACATTTTTACACTGACACTTTGTGGGAACCAGTGACACTAATACAGCGATCAGTGCTAAAATATGCACTGATCACTGTACTAATGACACTTGTTGGGAAGGGGTTAACGTCTAGGGTGATCAAAGGATTAAATGTGTACCTAACTATGTGCTTGGTGTACACTAGGTGGTGCTGTTACTACAGGAACTGAAGGATCATGTTCACCACCTTTCAGAACAGAGCTCTGCCTTGTTTATATAGGCAGAGATCTGTTCTTTCTCCTGCCTGAAGTTCTTTGGCACTTGCTGATCTGCTTCTGCTGTGAGCTGTGTGTGAGCCGCCCTATATACGTGATTTTTCACAGGAGGGCTGCCCTGTACCAGTAAAAGTGCTATAAGGTGGTCTTCAAGTGGATAAAAAAAACTCCATGTATTGTCATACAGTCAAACATGGTTACAGAATTTTGTTTTTTAATACTGCTGTCAGGTTACCTTAGCATGTCTAAAAAACACCTTTGATTAAAATTGTAAGGAAACAAACAGAAACATCACCCCAACCAATTCCATTTTCTCAGGGTAGCTTACAACTTGAAAGCAAGTTTTCACTTAGATAGTGGGTTCTGAACAGAACACCAATGAAGAGTTAGTTATTTTATTCTTCTCTTTATTGTTATATCTACAGCTCCCTGATCTCGCTAGTGTACCATGAGCTGTAGATCAAATTTTAGGGGTTCCTCAGGACCTCAATTTTTTTTTCAGTGCTTCCTCAAGGGTAAAAAGGTTGAGGAAGAAGGTTTAAACAGTTTGCCTCTATTAAGTCCCAAAGGCTCGGATTTGTAATTCCAATATGACAGGAGGTCAAGTGTGAGTAAATTGGCACAATTATGTGCTTACCACATCTAGTGCCCAAAGAAGCTTTGCAGCTGCTAGCTTTCTATTGCCTTATTTTATAATCTCAGCTATTTACTTCTTGAATCTCTGACTGCTGTCCTTGAACAAAGAGATGTGGTGATCCTGCTATTTAAATATGTGCTGCTCATGAGCTATGGCATAAATGTTTAATAAGTTTATTTTTAATGAAAGTAAAGAGAACGATAACAGGTAGCACCATTGTTTGATATAATTAATTATTTAGAATTTCACACTAATAAGCTGTGCGTTGGAGATAACAAGTCTATCAAGAATAATTTATCAATAATTTAGGGGATATGGGCACTATAGAGTAGGAAACCGTACAACACAGAGATTAATGTTGAAAGAACTTTGTACAGAAAATGAGTAAAAAGAACACTCAGCATCTCTTCTTTATTGCTTGCTCATGTAATGTAAAGCTTCACTCATAACATTTCCTAAAGTGCCTTCCTAGTGTGCATAACATTTCCTAAAGTAGAAATCCAGCCAAAATAATAGGAGAAATAAACAACAAATTAACACATAAAAAATAGCATTTCTTGAGACATGTCCATTTCACCACTTGATGTCCTCAGTCTGACATCCAGCATTATTGAATCCACTTTCTCTGAGCCCAGATTGTTAGGGACCCAAAACATTCTGTCACTGAACAGTAAAAGGAAAAGCAGCACAGTGATGAGTTCATCTGATGGGCACCTTGTGCTGCTTCTTTCTCTCACATCTGACCCCTGATGCATGTGGACTACAAGCAGCTGGTACCGGATCAGTTGCAGGTACAAACACTGCTCGCATTTAAAAAATTACATTTAAAGTAGAATTTGTGGCTTCCCTTTAATATAAAAAGGTTCTGCAGTATACTTAATTGTAAGTGCATTTACAGTCTCAATTCAAAACTCCACAAAGCCCTGTTGATCCTGCCATTGAAGACCATCTAAGGCCGGCCATACATGGGTTGAAATTAGACCGATTTTTCATCTGAAAATCGGACCTAAGAATAATCAGCCAATTTTTGCACTGTTAGTGGGTCAATGGCACCGGCCGATTTTCGTGGTTCCTGCCCTTTTCGGTGATTGGGCATGTTGGAAAATTCGTGAAAAACGACTGATTTTTCGACTCAATGATGGTCAAATCGTACGATCATTTTTCCGAAAAGAATATGCGCATGAGCTGTGACCTGGAAGGAACAGACATTTCGCCTGTTTATATGGGGTGAACTTTATGACATGGTCGGACAATTTTAAAAATCATTGATGGCACCATCGGATTACTGAGCGAACAACGTTTTCGATTTTCAGATGAAAAATCATTCGGAATTCGAACCATGTATGGCCTGCATAATGCAGCTTCCCTGGTTGGTGGGGCAATGATGCTGCACTGCTCCTGGATTTAGAGCAGAGCACATTTTCTACTCTCATGTAGATGGTACCTGCTTGTACTTCAGTGAAATGCAAAAGTATTGCAAGGGGTGTGGCTACAAGCATTGTCTTGCCTGTAGCCTTCCAATCAGCAGCTTGCCACACCTAGTCTTTCCCACTGCTCTATGGATTGACAGCACTGCCTCTGTCACTGAAACCCTTCCACTGTAAGCTGCAGTGTCCTGTATAGGAAATGTGTGAGACACAAGTGAAGGAAGAGCTCATTCAGGAAAGGTAAGGGAATTTTTTTGCTTGCTTTATGGTATAATAATTGGATTTGGTATTTGTTTAGACCAGTGATTCTCAATCAGGGTTCCATGGAACGCTTGGGTTCCTCCAGGTATTGCTAGGGGTTCCTTGAGCTTTTGCTGTCTGACCTCCTATTTAATGGTTTCTGCAAAGTTCCAGGGCCAATGCAATTTGGTCGAGCCAGCAGAATACCACCAATGATCTTTTTACCTGCCTTTTAGGGTGGCACTGTGAGGGATGCATTCCTTCTACTGACCACCAATGCAAGCAACATTTTTCCTATTGACTCCTGCTGAGTTGGTTTTAGTAAAAGTTCCCTGCAACCTGAAAATTATTTTAGGAGTTTCTCTGGGGTAAAAAGGTTGAAAAAGGCTAGTTTAGACTGTCATACAGAAACATTTATTTGTACTTTAATGATGTATTAATGATTACAAGCTCCATTAATATGTGTATTTTATATTGGCTTACAGGCCAATCTAAAATATATAGGGAATATTCTATATTATAAAAAAAAGAACCTTTTCATTGCTTGTTGGAAGCCTTGTTTTTGAATAAATAAACTCACAAATGAAAGATTGATTTTCCAGCAACATTTTTCTTTCTCTGTGGGTTAAAAACCATGTAACAACATATCCGCTACTCCTTTTTCATTTCTAAAGTGAAGTTCTCAAAGGAGCTCTGTTTGAATTAGCCATTCTTTAACCCCAGTCCAATAAAATAGTTCCATACAGGGGGAATTTAGTATTCAGCACTGTTATCCTCTGCCTATAGATGTCAGAGGCGAAACATTTTACTGCATATTTTTAATCTCATAAAAGCTTATTGATACATTGTTATAAAATACCAAGGCAGGTTAGAACCAATAAAACAAGGATGTTATTTTTAAATTAGGTAATCTTATCAAAGGTCTTTTAATTTGAGCATCAAACGTTTTGTACCTACAAGCTAGGCAACAGTCAGGGAATAGCTGCTTCTATCAGATCCTTTTTACATAAATGTTTTGCTTTGTATAGGATTCTCTTTAATATCTAGGCACATTGATGGTCAATTAAACAATGTACTGTGAAACTATTTGAATATACACTATATTGCCAAATGTATTGGGAGACCCCTCCAAATCATTGGATTCAGGTGTTCCATTCACCTCCATGGCCTCATGTGTATAAAATCAAGCGCCTAGGCATGCAAACTGCTTCTACAAACATTTGTGAAATAATAGATCGCTCTCAGGAGCTCAGTGAATTCAAGTGTGGTACTGTGATAGGTTGCCACCTGTGCAATATGTCCATCCGTAAAATGTCCTTGCTACTAAATATTCCACGGTCAACTGTTATTGGTATTATGACAAAGTGGAAGCAACTGGGAACAACAGCAACTCAGCCACAAAGTGGTAGGCCACGAAAAATGACAGAGTAGGGTTAGCGCATGCTGAAGCGCACAGTGAGCAGAAGTCGCCAACTGTCTGCAGAGTCAATAGCTAAAGACCTCCAAACTTCATGTGGCCTTCAGATTAGCACAACAACAGTGTGTAGAGAGCTTCATGGAATGGGTTTCCATGGCCGAGCAGCTGTATCCAAGCCTTATATCACCAAGTGCAATGCAAAGCGTTAGATAAAGCATGCCACCACTGGACTCTAGAGCAGTGGAGATGTGTTCTCTGGAGTGACAAATCACATTTCTGGATGGCAATCCGATGGACATGTCTAGATTTGGCAGTTGGCAGGAGAACGGTTCTTTTCTGATTTTATTATGCCAAGTGTAACGTTTGGAGGAGGGGGGATTATGGTGTGGGGTTGCTTTTCAAGGGTTGGGCTTGGCCCCTAAGTTTCAGTGAAGGGAACTCTTAAGGCATAAGCATACAAAAACATTTTGGACAATTTCATGCTCCCAACTTTGTGGGAACAGTTTGGGAGTGGCTCCTTCTTCTTCCGATACGACAATTGTTTTAACTGGCATCCACCTCACATCCCTTGCCGGAAGTGACGTTCTGCTCACGGTGAGACGCTGTCTATATGATACATCGCTACTTTTTCAGGAAATTGAGGATATTGGGCATGCTTGTACTTTTATTATGTGAGTTTATTACTGATTTTACAATAAATGTTTTTTAGTTTTTTCCTTCCTTGTAGTGGAGTTAATCTTTTTAGAGGATGTCCTACCTTTCTACCAGCCTTTAATTGCCAATGGGCTAAGTGATTGGGGAGTCTTATAACGTATGACACTCACCACAAGCATGATTGCCTATCATGCTAAGATAGGCCAAGACATCTGGTGAGTGCCACTGAATTGGGGGAGGTTTTTCTCTGGAGCACGTGGTGGAGGGAAGGTTATTTGGCACTTGTGGAATTAATCTCATTCAATCACATAGTGGTTCAGTGGATTACAAGGACTTTATTCATTTATTTTTTGATGGATTTTCATGAAATATTTATTTGTCTTTATGAATTGGACATTCACTGATGTAATGTATTGATGTATTTGTATATTCTAGCACATGTATTTCACTGTATAGTATTTTGTGCTATCTTATTATTTTCATTTTTGCTGTTGTGCTGCTTTCACTAGATATATTATAGTACAGCTTTGGGGAATAGAGGAGTTGGAATGAAAGGGTGAGCATAGATGGCACCCTTCATGAGTGCATACAAAGATTTTGATTGAACATAAGTTCTTAAAAAGTAACTCCACTTTTGTTGAGAAAAAAAACATTTCTCGCTGGGTGATCTATATACATTGCAGGGATTTTAACAAATGTTGTTGCAGATCCCTACCTTTTGTTATTCTGAAGAAATAGCTGTTTGTTTGTCTGTGTCCATGTCTACTTCCCTTAGGGAGCATCTCACTGAAAATGACATTTTTGTCACATGGAATACCAAAAATGGGACTTGTATCTTAGTGCAGACTTTGGGAAAATCAGTAAGCCAATCACTCAAGCAGGAAATTATGTTTTCAGGGTGCGTTCTGTATATCATCTACGTACTGAACGCCTCCAGGTAACCATATTACATTGCATTTTACAGAAAGTTACAGCACTGCAGTTTGAAAATGAATGGTAGTTTCAATTACGTACATCACAATTGTGTATGCTATATTATTTTTTTTAATTGCTAATTTTTTTCCCATGAAAGTGGAATTACCCTTTAAGCATATATTACTGCTGGCAGATGTCTTCGGGGAAGGGGGGCTCATCAGAGAATGTGGGGGCATGGAGCCTGGAGTTGGACCTTAAAGAAACCCTGTTGGATCGCTAAGGGTAGATTTAGACGTGCATCTAAATCTCTTTTTCCTGATCCACGTTTGGATTGTGCTTCAGAGGCTACTGAACGGAGGTGAGATAGCAATGATGCCTACTCACCACCTGTTTTAACCTTTTCACGCTGGCTGAATGCAAATGTGTGGCCTCCCGGCGTCTGGGCCTAGAAGCCGAGTGGATGCACATTTGCGTTCTATCAAAAAAATACATATTTGCTGAGAGCGTGCACCCTGCACACCCTGCACGCTCCCAGCACACATGTCTGGTACTCACGGAAACGTCCTGATCTCCTCTTTCGATCGGGACCTTTCCCCATCATGTGACCACCGTGACGGAGTGTCACGGCGGTCACATGACCCTACACCCCATCCCGCATCTCGGCTTCTGAAACCCTTAAAGGGCCGGGAGGCGCTGGCGTGAAGGAGTTAATCCCATTTTTGTCAACAAGTGCACTGCAAGTTTGTAATGTGAAGCTTCTGGTGGGCCTCCCCCCACGAATTACTACATATTTAGTAAACTTTGCTGTGGATGTGAAGCAAAGCATCATGACTGTGGCATGTAAACACCACATCTGCTAACTATTTCTACTTATGAAGGGGGAAGGGGGGAGGCAGGGATAGCGAGTGTCAAAAATGTGGCACAACCATGAATTTTTGTCATGTCCCCTCCCCCAGCAGCCTGTCTAATTGAAGCCTAAAAAATTGAAAAATGGCAGCTTCCTGCAAATAAGGGACAGCATATTTGACTCTCTGGCATTCTGTTTCTCTTCTCCTGCTCTAGCATTGCAGCTTCAGACTCCTTGGTATTTGCCACTTCCAGGAGTGTTGGATTCCTGTGTCCCCTGTCTTTGGTTTCTTCTTCTACAGGATTCAGAAGTGATATAGGGGTTAGAGGAAGGAAACAACATGTGACAGGGGCCACTCGATTCTTTAGAGACCTGACAGACTAAAAAACTATCAGCTGTAAACTCATATCTCAATGGGGAAAGAACAAAAAGAGGGCGCACAGGCCTAGTGCATTACCATAAAAAATGTTTAATAAAAAAAATAATAAAGTAGGTGTTGTACTCACAAACGACAATATAGTCAAGGCACATCATAAAAGAACAGCTGGATCAACACCGCGCTGAGTAACAGTCCGCAATAGGGAGTTTAGACATCCAAAAGGCTGACGCCTTTCGAGGACTTGCCTCTTCCTCAGAGCCCTGAGGCTCTGAGGAAGAGGCAAGTCCTCGAAACGCGTCAGCCTTTTGGATGTCTAAACTCCCTATTGCGGACTGTTACTCAGCGCGGTGTTGATCCAGCTGTTCTTTTATGATGTGCCTTGACTATATTGTCGTTTGTGAGTACAACACCTACTTTATTATTTTTTTATTAAACATTTTTTATGGTAATGCACTAGGCCTGTGCGCCCTCTTTTTGTTCTTTCCCCATTCAGTATATTTGGATTCCCCCGGTCCATTTGAGGGCAGCAAGGTGTGCATGTTCCAGGACATTCTTAATGTGGTTGTAGCATTGAGTCCATCCCCAAGCGCAGGAGCATTTGTGTTTGCTGGTTCTTTGTAAACTCATATCTCAGGCTGATCCAACAAAAATACAAAAAGAGTAAAAAAAAAATGCTTACAACAATAAAAATTGAATCCATAACTTAAATAAGTAAACATGCATGTAGTACGCCCTATATCCACATAAACATGTCACTCGTATGTGCAGTATTTATTAGAGGGGTTGGTTTACTAAAGGCAAATATACTGTGCACTCTGCAAGAGCAGTTGTTCCAGAGCTTAGTAAATGTGCAGAAGCTCTGCTGACTTCCATCATCCAATCACGTGCAAGTAAAAAAGCTTTTTTTAAATCTTACTTGCACATGATTGGGTATTCCTTGCAAAGGGAATTTTTAACCCTTTTACTAAGCTCTGGAGCAACTGCTCTTCCAGAGTGCAATTGCACTTTGCAAAGTACAACATCTGATTGCCTTTAGTAAATCAACCCTTGAGTGTTTTTGTTTATGTCCTTGAAGTGTTCTCAGTAAGGGAAAAATGTCATAGGCAATTGCTGTCTTTAACTTTGAATCATATTAACTTTTTTTTCTGTATATCTGTCTCACATGAAAATATATTCCTGAGTTTTATAATAATATCCTTGGTATGCTTAGCTTCCATGCAATTACTGTCTATCACTTTAATGTAAACTCTTTCATCTTTTTCCTTTGATTTTTTTCCTTCTTGTTCTGTTTTCATATTCTTTTGTTTCACAAAGGGCTGTTTGTAGCATCTCAGTACAAGGTTCTTTGCAGGTTATCCACAGTATGTAGATTCTAGTCAACCAGGGCAAAAGGAGACACTGCAATTCATGCAACATAGAACACTGTGGTAAACTCTAGAAGCACATGTAGCACCCTCTTGGTAGTTTGTTTTTTTGTTTGTTTGTTTCTTAGTCAGGGGCTAAGTAGCAGTCTGGCATGAGTCAGCCTGGGAGTGAGGTAGAGAGTTCACCTCAGAACAGGCTGGGAGGCCAGGACTTCTGGAACCCTCTCACCCTTCCAGAAACTTAGAGAACTTTCTGGAAGAAGAGCAGAGGAGGCCCAGATCTGCATGTTTGAGGGCACTTGGCCAATCCCCAGGCAGGAGGCTGAGCATAGTGGCTAAGAGCATCCCTTCAATGTGGCAGAGCCTGTGCAGTAGAGGAGTCAAGTGGAAGATGGATTGAGAGAAGGCTGGAGTGTGGAGCCTGGGAGGGAACCTAACTACAGGCAGGATGATGGAAAGGAGGATCTCCACTGCCCAAGGTCTCTTAGGGAGGACATCTTGAGCAGCAGGGAAGGAGCAGCCCAGCAAAAAGCCTGAAAGCAGCTACCAACCCACCACTTTGACAGGAAAGGACAGTGTGAGTACTCCTACACCTCCTGACCCAGATAAGAGGGGAAAGGGGGGTCAGGTGCCGGACCCAATTAGTTCTCATCCAGGACTACCTCATTGCTAGATATTGGAATCCTTGCCCAGGGATACTTTCAGTGCAGCCGGGTAAAGAGGAATAATTAATTTTGTTGTCTGGGGAGGTACACCAAGGGGACTTTAGAGCTCCTTAAAGAGACAGTGCTATCTTTGTGGAACTACATTTTGTACAATGTACAGGTTGCAAATAACTTTGTCCAGAAGTTTAGAGTTCTTTGGGCATCTCATATACCCCTAGACCCTATCCAAGTTGTTAACCCCTTAGTAAAAATAACTAAAAAAAACAGCTCAAGGACTGTATTACTGACTCTGTGCATGTGAAGATGAGGGAACATGTGTGTCGCCTGGTCGTGCAAAGCTTGAAGGTGGACCCAAACTCAGTGGCCCTTGAGAGGATAGTGCTACACACACAACTACGGTATAACTGCAGTC